ACATTTTTGGGACACTTGGGGGATTCTGCATACAGGTTATATTAGATAATACTGTATATACTAAATTCCTTGGGTGTGACAAGGGCACTACTAGTAGGAGAATGGGCTTGTTCATGGGAGATATACAATGTTCTTTGGCTGAACCACCTAAAAGTTGTAGACATCGTGACTTTATTCTCCAACTATCTCTGAGTGTTTCAGGGGGTAGGATGGGGGGTACTGAGGCTGGGAGAGTCTGGGTGAGAGGTAAGGGAGACTCATGGTGCTACTCTTTCAACTTTCCTCTAACTGAAATTTTCAAAACAGAAAGTTGGTGGGGGTGAATCATGGTCATAGACTTTTGTTTTCTTGAAGCAGCAGCCTCTATCAAGGTGTGGCCACAATGGAACCACATAAAGTGAATCTATGCCTAGCACTTTGGGAAAGCCAGAATGCACTAGGCCTTGGTCTGTGTGAGGACCATTTTTCTCTACCATTATTTGTGTCTATTCATCTTTCCACCTCCCAATATCCTGCCAAATGATTTTTTGGCTTTCTTGTTGGTGGTTCAACCTTCAAATGTGCCCAGTGACCAGAACATCCAGGCCAAAAGTCTTTGTGGGTCAAATTCATTTTGTGCTAAGTGCTCATAAATTCCACCCATGCTGTCCTGTTCAGGAGAAAGCTACAGAGGCCCAGGAAGTGAAATGACTTCCAGGAGCCCAGTAAAACAAGACATAAGGAAACAGATCCTGCTCTGCCACTCTTTCCTCACCTAGGATGCTTCCAGGGCCCACAAAGACCTTGAACTCCAGATGAAACATGTTTTAGAAGTTCGAATGCCAAGTCACACCGCTTTCAGAACTCAGGCACAATTCACAGGCTAAGGCAACCATCATGGTGGTAAAATGGACACGATCCAGCATATCCCTCAGATTTCACACTTCTGTGGATTCTCTTAATGGGTATCTTAATTCATTTTCAAAAGACTATGACAGAAATAAATGGGGCCAGAAGTCTCAGTGATGAGCGATTGCTTTCTCCTCCTCTCTCTCTCCTCCCTTGCCCTCCCAATGAACATAGACAATTGAGTGCTCTGAGTAATGCTCTCTCCAGCTTCCAGCTGCAAGTGATTGTTGCTAGGAATCAGAACCCATAAGACTTTCATATATGGATGAGGCAGAGAGAAACAACCCTCCTCCACTCATCTGTGGATTTCTTAGTTACTCTCCAGATGTTCTCTCAACCAGATCCCTGCGTGCAGAGAACAAACAAATAAGCTGATCTGTTGTGACCATGCTGAACGCAGGCATGGCCCTCGTTCATGAGGTACAGAGGGAACACACAGCTCTTCTGAGAGCAAATGGAGCTTCCTGGGCTGCCTCCTTGGTTTCAAGACAGAGTGGTACAATCAGAAAAAAACAGATCTGGCCCCCACTGTGGGGCTACCCAGGAGTCTCAAAGCCCAGAGAGGGTAGTTCATTCTCATGTAAAATGTCCAACAGGCTAAAAGCTGAGACAGCACCTTACACCTGAGATTGGTACCCAGAAGATCAAAATGGGATGGTTTCTAGGAAGCAGTGAGCCCAGGGCTCTGGGCTAATTCACACCATTGCACATTTCCTCCTGTCTGTGATGGAGTAAAGATGGAGATCACTTAACGGGAAAGAGTTCAAGTGAGTCAGAGATCTCATTGAGTATATTCAAGGCATGTTGGCTTCTAGGAACTGGATGGTGAGCCAGTTCCAGTGTTCCTGGTAGAACACAGCTCTGCTTGGGTTCATTCTAGCAGAAGCTGAATCCCATATGCAAACAACCTGGTGGAGTTCACCTCCCTTGCTGAATGGGCATGGTTAACTGGAGAAAGGGATAACAAGCACCTGGCCAAAAGATATTGCCAAGTGTACAAGGGAGGAAGAGAGGCCTAGGCCAGAGACACAAAAAAGTCCAGTAATAGGGATCTTTGGAAGGCTGTACACAATTGCAACAACACAAGCAGCCAGGACAACAGCAGAAGGAGTAACAAGTGAAGACCTAGATTCTGGCCACATGACCTCAAACAAGTGTTGGCTCTCCTGGACCTCAGTCTCAGCCTCTGAAAATGATGGAGCTCAGTGGGTAACTCACCTGAGCTACCCTGGCTAGAAGGCTCTCTGCCTCTCCTGCTGGCTGCATTGTGAGCTCTCCACAGACAACCCACTCTTGTCTTCTCAAGAGAGAAGAGCCCTGGAGACCTTGACTTCCCCCTCCCCTTATCCTAAGAGCACTTCACTGGATGTGCCCAGAGAACACCTTGGTCAGGTCCCATTCTAGGTAGCAGATGGACCACTGGAAAAGTTCCACTCAAAGGGAAGCAAGCCAGGGTTCACCTCCACCCCTAAGCACTCTGACATTGAACCTTGGAAGAGAAGATTCAGTGTTCATCCTTCAAAGACTGAAATAGCAGCAAAGATCAGAAGGCTACAGAAGCAAGACAAAGTGCAGGCTGCCTTACATGTTTCGGTCAGTGGTGATCACATGAGGAGAAGAAAGACTTTATCCTACGGTCCTGAATCCTACAGGAAGGGAGTTGACTCTGTGAGAATATACTGTTTTCTATATCTCCCTGGGAAGAGGGGTGCTCCCTGTCACTCGAAGCCTTCAAGCACAATGGTCACTGTATGACCACTCTGCACAGATATTTCAGTGGGAAAACCAGCTCTGAAGGGAGACTGAGCCTATGTCCCTCTGGCTGACTTCTGGGCCTATGCCTGCCCCTGTGGATACACAGAGCAGGGTCCCTCATTGGAGAGCTGAGTCAGGACACATTGGTGTGGGCAAGTCAGCATTTTGGACCCTTCTGGGTCGGGACTGAGATTGCTGTCTCAGTTCTGTCATCCTCTTAGTGCCTCAGTGCCATGTACAGATCAGAGGTGATCACACACACCCCCCATTTGAGGGCAAATCTTACAAAGGTTTTCAGGGGGGTGATTTCTACATGTATTCCAGGCAGTCCTCCAAGGCATAAAGTACTCTGCAGATATGCATTGGTATTGTCATGCCTATGACCGCCTAGAGCCAACAATCTCTTCATAGAGAAAAAATTTCAAGAAGAGCGATTGCTTCTATTCTCTGAACAGACTTTTGAGCCCTGTGGTGGGCATTCCATAAAACGAAATCTCAAACAAGTGAACTGATAAAGACCTTGAAGGTTGATAACTGTCAACTTTGGCCAAGAGAGTCAGGTTCACAGACTCCTTCTGAAGGTCCTGTGTCCTAGACGAAGGGGACATTTCAACACAGGGTGTAGCATTAAAGTGCATGCATAGCCTTTCCAGAGGAGTCTTGAATGCTCCTGGGTTCAGCCCAATGGCCCACATGCTTGGGACTTGTGGCATTTGGGTGCTGTGTCCTTTAAGAAATCCTGTAGACCAGTGAGCGTGCTCCTTCTGAGTAGTGCGGCCAAGGACCATTCATTTCCATCCAAGAGCCAGGAACTTCCAGTGTACGAAGGAGTGGGAGGATGAGTGAATGGGTGAGATTAAGAAATGGCAGGGATGACGATGAGAGAAATTAGAGTCCCTCAGTGAATGTGGAGGCCAAACTGTCCTTTGTCACTGCCATCATAAGGGCCTGCAATGTGCCATATTCTCTAGCCTAAACTATCCCCTAAGAGATTAGCATATCTTCCCTTGGGGGTCATCCCTATTTAGAGTGGGGAGGAATTTCTCCACTACCTAGACAAAAGCATCCCCTGAGATTGACAAGTTCCCAGTAGGCCAAGATACAGCCTCTAAACTCTTCCTGAGACCAACATGAATATTTCCCTATTTACAGATCAAATGCAATTAGACAATCTTTCTTGAAATATATATATATATATATATTCTTTCTTTTTAAACGAGGAATGCCCTGTCACTTTTTATGAGGAAAAGAAACCACATCCATGTACTAATACCCATTCTCATCCAAGCATTCCAAAACTATAATTCTTATTCATGCAGATAGATGCTGCACAAAATGGTCAAACGTCATCGTCATCACTAAGAGAGAAATAATAAAATAGATACTCTGCGGTTCCAACAATTTTCCTGTTTCCCCTGACACTTCCAGCTGCACAGTAAATTGTTGGACTGGAGATGATCAAATTAAAAATGCCTTGAATAAATTAATACTAGTGACCTTCGATTATTCCATTGCTACATCTGTTTTGTGTTAATAATGCATACCAGTTTCACAAAGTGCATACTTTTTTAAAATTTCTTTAAACTGGCACGCTAAACTGACCCATCTCGTCTTACACATCCACCCCCTGAACAAACGTTAATACAATTTAGAACCTAGCTTTTAGGAACTATGGTCCTGATACATCTGTTTATGGAACAAGAAGATTTGGCAAGATGATAAATCAAAAACTTCATGGGCTTTGTTTGGAAGCAGCCTAAAGCAGGCTACTAACAAAACTGTGAGAGGGGAAAGGGAGTGAATACCTGATACTTTCCATCTTGTCACACAACACACACACACACAGAAGCACACACACTCCTAGGGCACACGTGTACACGCAGCCACCCAGTCCTTGGGGAGGAAGAAAGGAGTTAGGTCAGAGACACCAATATGGGTGGGCAGTCAAAGGCTCCCAGCTTTGGTGAGAAACTTCAGCCTGGGCATCCTCTCAGCTCTGTCTCGGTGCTCTTGGTCTCACACCTGTCCTAGGAAAGCCACCCCAGGAAAGGGGGCAGGGTGGGGGAGAAATGTAAGGCATACTTTGCTGGGGAGGAAGGAAGAAATCCATGCTTCATGCTCAGGTGCGAGTTTCAGAGAGGATGGGCCTCTATTTCCCTTTGGACTGCTCTGCCTGGCTGGAAAGGTGGGAAAGAAATGAAACCAGGAAGGGAGCGAGGAGAGAAAGTAATGGTGATGACCATAATAACAACAAAAGATAATAATAATAAATAAATAAGGAGGGAAAGACGAGTTGGGCCAATGGAACTTACATCCACATGACAAATGACTCCTCCGTCCTACTCCCCTCCCCACACTTAGACGGACTTCCGACGGCGGGTCAGCCTGAGGTTGTCGGCGAAGCTGTTCAACCCAGGCGAGACGGAGCTGATGGGAGACGGCAGGAGGCTGTTCTTCAGGGTGCTTGGCGAGATCTCTTCAACCTTGTAGGAGATGGAGTGCACGGCCTGGGGGGCAAGCTTGGCACGGGTACGATAGCAGGAGCAGGAGCACACGGACTGCAGGTCGCCGCCCTCGCCACCCTTGCACCGACGGGACCGGCTCGGCTGCGACTCATCGGAAACGTGGATCACCACGCTATTCTGGTGGCCGGGGAGTGACTCTCTGTCCTCCACCTCCCGCCGCTCCTCGTCGCTATTCATGGTCAGGAACCTGAGGACCACGAGGTTGAGGAAGGCCCCGATGACCGTCAGCCCCACGAGGATGTACATGAAGCTGAAGGCCACATAGAATGGTTTTCTCTGCAGGGCGCCCTTGGTCTGCAGCGCGACGTAGTCTCCGAATCCGATGGTGGTCAGCGTTATGAAGCAGTAGTAGTAGGCGTGGAAAAAGCTCCATTCCTCGCACTGGGAGAAGGCAGCCGCCCCGATGCACAGCGTGCCCATGCAGGAGAAGAAGCCCACAGTCACCATGTTCTCCATGGACACGTCGGTGTTGCGCATGCCGCAGCACTTCTTGATACGCTTCAGCAGGTAGCGCACGAAGGTGTTCATGCGCTCGCCCAGGCTCTGGAACATGACCAGCGTCAGGGGGATGCCCAGCACTGCATAGAACATGCAGAAGGCCTTGCCTGCGTCCGTGCCAGGTGCCGCGTGTCCATAACCTGCAGAGGGGACGAAGAACGGGCACAGTGGTCAGAAACCATCCTGGGAGGTTTGGCTTGGAGAGGAGTGGAGTTGGGGCATGTCCACCTCTTGAAAGGAGGGATAAAAAAACAAGGGAACAAGTTAAGACAGCGCTGGTGGCTGTAATCCTAGGTACTCAGGAGGTAGAGATGAGGAGGATCAGGGTTGGAGGCCAGCCTAGGCAAATACTTTGCAAGACCCTATCTGGAAAATACCCAACACACAAAAAAAAGGCTGGTGGAGTTGCTCCAATGGTACAGCACCTTCCTAGAAAGTGTGGGGCTAGAAATTAAAACCCCAATACCACCTAAAAAATGAGACAGAGAGAGATGGAGAGAGAGAGAAAGGGGGAGGGGTGGAGAGAGAGAGAGACAGAAAGAGAGAGAACAAGTTTTTTTTTTTAAAGGCCCATGACAGCTGGGGTGCAGTGGGAAAATGGATTGGGATTCCAGATCTGAAATCCTATAATCCAAAACATTTTGAGAGCCAACATAATGCCACAATTGGAAAATTCCATACCATGAAACTTTGTTCCATACACAAATTTACTTAAAATATTATATAAAATTAACTTCAGTTTCTATGTTTAAGATATTTATGAAACATAAGTGAATTTCATGTTTTAGAGTAGGTTCCAATCCCCAAAATATCTCATGATGCATGTACAAACATTCCAAAATCTGAAAAAAATCCAGAATTCCCAAACACTTCTGGTACCATGCACTTTGGATAAAGAGTGTTCAATCTATACCATAACCTAGGAGGCAGAGAAGACTCCAACCAAGGAATGTCATTTGTTTGACATTGGGGAGGTGTGGGCAATTCAATGTTCTTAAAGCAATATGATTTTTTTTATTCATATGTGCATACAATGTTTGGGTCATTTCTCCCCGCTTCCCCTGGCCCCTTCCTTTCCCCTCCCCCCCTTTACCCCTCCAACCCCTCACTACCAGACAGAAACTATTTTGCCCTTATCTCTAGTTTTGTTGAAAAGAGAGTATAAGCAATAATAGGAAGGACCAAGGGTTTTTGCTAGTTGAGATAAGGATAGCTATACAGGGAGTTGACTCACATTGTTCTTAAAGCAATATGATTTTTAAAAGGAAACAGCATATTTACTACTAAGAAAACTACAAAAGTACCAAACCCAAGGGAGAGAATGAAATATGCCCACCATGGATCCACATGAAGAGTGAATATTCAAAGAAGAATGACTGCTGTGTGCCAGGCATTATGCCTACTCTTTTTACACACATCTTCTCAGTCTAACCACCTCATGACCCTATAAAAGAGGCATAATGATTTCAAACCCGCTGATAAGAAAACAGAGTTAGTGACTTAATAGCAGGGTAACCTGACTTCTTCAGAGCTGGGATTTGAGCCCAGAGTTTTCAACCACTAAAGACGAGGCCAAAAGCAAGACTTTGAGTGAAGAGAGGTAATGGGACATAAACGCCATGAGTGTAAGATTTTTTTCAACCTGTTTTGTTCCCTGCTGTATCTTGTGTAGATACACAAGAATATAATGGAATGTATAAACTTGTGCCACTGTGCAAATGAAGCCTTGGTGTAAAAAAGAAAACAATCCTCAAAGACCCCATGTACGTAGGAACTTTTGAAACTCCTAATGCAACCTCACAGCCTGTCACTTCACCGAGCCCCTTCAGGAGCTAGCAGAGTCAATGCCCCATGTGCTCACACTCAGATGAGGACAATGGTGCAAGAAAGGTGAAGTTGCTTTCCAGGGTCACTCATCTGGCCAGTGATAAGCCAGGGCCAGGATTGGGTCTACATAACATGACAAAAAGAATGCAAGTCCCTGTAGGTTCTAGTTCAAGTTCTAGAATGAATACTGCCCAAAAGAAACCTAGATCATGCAGTGTTTAGACTGACAATTTGGAGGATAGACCTGGTCTTACAACATCTCAATTCCTGCTGCATCAAGGAAGGCTTTGCTTATGTTGTCCCAGATCCCACGCTCACAGTCACTTAAACACCTTTGTTATCTTGAGCCTTGGGGAACCTCTGCCAACTCAAGTTTCTTCATCTGACATGTAGGGTAACAGTGTTCCAAGGAGGGTTTCTGGGTGGATCTGCTGAATCCAGAGAGCACCCTACCTAAGACTCAGTAGGAACTTACCTGACCTGAGCTCTCTGCCCGCCACAGTCTCTGCTCTAGTCAGTGCTCCTTTTCTGGAGTCTCTCATGTAAGGGTCAATCTGTTAGTCTCTCCAGGAGGGCTTCTCCTCATCCTCCTTAGACCTCAATCCCACCACCTCAGCCAGTAGTGTGTTCTGAGCCCTCAGAAACTCCACAGCCTTACAAAACAAGAGAAATGGCATGACCCGAAATTGTAACCAGGCCAGAGATTATTATGGAGAGACTGGGAAGCTGAAAGGAATATCCATATATATTTCAATAAAAATTATCTAATCAAAGATTGGAGAGGAACAAAGATTGAAAAAAAAGAAATACATAAGTCTCTGGGCCTTGAGAATAGTATCAGAAGGTGTTCCAAAAGAAAAGAAAAAAATCAAATGAAACAGGAAAAGATAAAAATAAATGATGGCCAAAATTAACAAATTAACCAGTTCTGGGTGTGATATATTTAGTGACACCAGGTGCCAGCCACCCCCACCCATACCTGTTTGATGAAAGGCAAATAAATTATAGAATCCAGAAGCTCAGTGAACCTCAAGCAGGGTAAATGCAAAGAAAACCACACGTCAGTCCAATTGCAGAAAGCCAAAGATGGACCAGAAATGAACCAGAGAGAAATGGTAACATCACATGCTGCAGAGGACAGCATGCCAAATACTGCTGACTTTTGATCGTAAACAATAGGAGGTGAGAAATAGTGGAGTCATGTCTTCACACAACCAAAAAACAAGCATTATATCCAAAGAAAATAACCTTCAAGGGTAAAGTCAAAATGAAGACATCTTCAGATTGAAAACACTGGGAAAATTCATTACCAGTGGATCTGCAAGGCATGATGACTGGAGGAAGTTGTGCCTTGGGGAAAGGATCCCAGATGGAAACAGGTCTTCAGGAAAGAATGAGGCACATCGTGGTAAAAATGTTGGTAAATATAAAACATGCAGGTGGAAACCCACATTTCCACAGAGCTCACCTGTGGAGCGGATGCAGAAGCCAGATGGGTGATGGAGAACAACAGGAGGTGGTTAGAAACCTATTAAGTGGTAATGCTAAGAGTTCTGGGTATGATTTAGTGGAGGAAATCAACACAATGTTTTCTGGGACAAAACCTACATACCAGGTGCCAGCACCACCTCCATCCCTGTATGTGAAGATCAGAAGCAGTTTGCCCTCACATGGTGGGGACTTGGTACACCTGCACATGTCATCTCAGGATTATAGCTGTTCTCCAGTCTGTCATGATACGGAACAGAAGAACTTGAATGTGTTGGCACCACAGGACATCTCACTGGCCCATTTCACTGGTGATGTGCCTCAGTGGGACATGTGCATGACAGGGTGTGGGAGACAACTACTGTCAATACTAAGGGCCCATCAACATTAATAAATTTCCTAGGATGCTTACTGACCCACTGGGAAGTCAAGGTGGAGCCCACTATGGTCCAGACCATCGTCTGAGGGAGAGGGTGTCATTCCTTCTCTTTCTCCCACCGATTTTGGTCGGTCTGTGAGCTGCAAGAGAATGGGGCCCAGTCCTGATACAGCTCTGGGTCCAGCATAGAGGAGGTCCTTGGAGCCTAGAGAGATGCCTCACTATGCAAAATAATTTCCATCCTCCCAGGCCTTCCTGGTAGTCCTGGCCAAGCTCCAAGTCCACCTAAAGGCCAAAGTGACCCAGGGGCAGCCTCACCCAGCCTGCTTTTCATGGCCCCTTGAATGAGCTTAGTGGATCCCTCTGCTCTGTCCTGGGAGTGGCTATGCAGAGAGAGAGGCTCTTCTCTCTGCTGCAGTAGCTAACAAAATAAACCAAAGTGAATAGGCTCCATATTCCCACAGTGGAGACAGGCAGAAGAGGAGGGTAATAAAAGTAAGTCATCCTTTTTATTGGATCTGGGATTCCCCCAAGAACCAGCTGAGTGAAGAGAAAATGCTCCCACACCAGTTGTCTTGTACTCTCCACTGCTTTATGAGGTTTTCCAGAAGCATGAGAGCCAATAGGAAGAAGCCCCCTAGCCTGGCCGCCATGCTAAGCTATATTTCATTGAAGACACTGTAGTGCCCAGTGAGCTCTTCTGACAGTAAAAAGATGAATAAGGAAGCCTGTGTAAGGTGGATCGGGACCAGCCTCACTCCCAACACCCAGTGTTTCTCCCTAAAGCCTACCCTGAAGCCTCCACCAGAATCCATCAAGCCCTGCTGTGACTTCACACTACAGTGCAGTGTCACCAAATGGACAAGATTGCCTCTCCCTACCCCACAACAGGCCAAATGAATTTGAGCTCAGACTGCCACCTAGGGACTATGGGCAGTCACCTCCCTCCCTCAGCCTCCTTCTTCCGCCATGTTTACTATGACCATCCCCCCTTCCCCAGCCAGGGAGCCTGGTGCCAGGTGAGGGAAGTCATGGCTGCCGCCAGCAGCCCACAGCTGCCAGGGGACAGACTACCCAGTCTAGAGAAGAAGATGGCCACACAAGCCCTTGGGCTTCAGGAAATTTGTTGCTGGGAGAGAATGAAAAATTTACAAAGGACAGGCTGAGGTTTGTGCTGGGGAGAATTAAAATAAGCTCAAATTCCATTAACGAATGACTCCGGGAGGATTTGAGAAGGAGCTTGCTGGAAAAGGGAGCTGCCCTCGGCCCCTGGAGCTTCCTGGCTGGTTCCCACTTGGTACCGCAGCAAGCATCCATCCCACTCATCCTCCCACAAACGCTGACCTTGCGTGAGCCCCTGAATGAGCTCAGCATGACTAAAATCCAGGTGTCTGTAAACAGCGAAAAGGAAAATGATTCATGTGCCCTGTGCAGCGTGGAGGGCAGAGGGTAGGCAGGAAGGACCATCAGGAAGCTCCTGTGCAGCATCAGAGAGTCCCAAGTTCTGAGTCTGACCATTTCCCACATACAGCCATGACCTTGGGCAAACTACCTGGATTCTGGAACCTTGACTTTCTCTTTCATTAAAAGAATGAAGTAATTTCTCCAGTTACACAGCACTTTACAGTCTGTAATGCTTTCCTGGACTCATTCTTTCATCTGCAAGGGTTGTCAGTGGTCACAGCTGCCCCATGTCAAGTCACCATTCTCACAGTTTCTACTGATGCCATTCATGGGCTTGGCTTATCTCCAGGTCTCCTATTCTACCCAAGAGTGAACAGTGCTTCTCATGGTCTCTGACCGGATCACCAGTCAAGCCCTCAACCAATGAGGATTTTGCTGGAACAAAGGCTTTTATTTTTTCCTGCCAGACTTAAAGGGCACCATAGTGTATGATCTGGTGCAGCTACAGTCATTTTACCATCATGAGGAAAATGTCTCTGATCCCAAAGATGAGGAAGCCATTCTGTCCCTGCATGTGAGTCCATCCTACAGTTAGGCCTACTCCCAGTTATCTCAGTCTGTCCCCCCAGTAAATCTGGATTCCACTACTGTTTTGAGTAACACTCAAGCAGGACTATAAATAAGGAGTAACAGTGTTGCTAACAAAGTGTTTTGCAGTTCACGCCTCCGCATTTCACAAGGTGCCTCTTAAAGCCAATTCAGATCTGTGCAGGGAGGTGGCTGGGGAGTGACCAGGTCAGTGGCCATGTGAACAGCCAGGTCCTCTCAAGGAACTCAGTGGCCAGGATTGTGGGCTGGGGTGACTCAATCTCCAGTTTTAAAAAGAAGCTGGAAACAAGGCTTCTTAAAATGTGGGATCTAATTTGTGTCTAATTAAACATGCTGATAGATGGCCGAACAGAGGGAGATCAACCAGACCAGTGTTTGTTTAAAACACACCTCACATATGCGCCAGAAACGGAGAAAGGGGGAAAGACAGAGGCTGGTAAAATGCCAGGCTCCCCACCCACTGGCCACCATCTCCACCTTCCCTGACCCCTGCGAGGCAGGACAACCAGCTGGCTGCTTTCATAGACCCACAAATGAAAGCAGCAAAGGCACCTCCCCATCTGGCCTAGACTAAGGCCCCTTCCCACAAGATCCATGGACCCTCTGCATGGCGGGGAGGGGACACAGGCTCTGCCACCATCCCCTACTCATGTGGCCCAGGCAGGGCAGGCAGGGTGTGACACTCTCATCTTCCTGTCCACTCAGAAGCTCTGATCTGAGTCCCAGGCCCTTGGCTAGTCTCAGAGGCCCTGGCCTCTTACTTTGGCTCTCTGTGCTCCCTGAAGGAAACTCTGGCAGATTTTGCATTTTATTTAATGAAAGAGCAATTCCCTCATAGACTTCATTATTAATTTCCAAAAGGAACTTTAATTCACTTTTAGTTTCCTTTCCCTTTTTGCTGTAAGGGGAAAAACCACACACACACACACACACACACACACACACACACACTCAGCACAACCCCATTGCACACAGTGCTCAGGTGCCACCAAGTGGGTGCCAGACTGTGATGCAAGCTCAAGAAAGACACCAAGGAGGACTGGATGGGACACACTCGCCACGTATCTTACTGTCTCCAACAGTGCAGTTGGAAGAGGCTGGAGGTCATCATCCTCCAAACGAGCTTGCTTTTGCAAAAGGCTCAGAAAATGCTGCCCACAAGGAGCTGAATGGGCCACAGGACGGTGGAAGTCCTAGCCCATATCTTCCCAGGCCCCAGCAAGAAATGCAGGTGCCCACTGGTGACCAGAGGTGCAAGAGCGCCCTCTGGTGGGCATTTGCTAGGCCAGTTGTAGAACACAGATGCCTGCACAGGGACCACACCTGCCCATGTTCCCTCCTGGGATAGGGAAAGGAAGTCACTAAACCTTTTCATAGAAGAGCATGAGTCATGTGGTGAATTTTATCTCAGAAACTACTGTTAATCTGTGGCATTTTGGCATAGACAAAATATAACGACAGCAATGATGGCCACCATGTATTGAACGCTTCTGCAGTGACAGGAATTGAACTAAGGAGCTTCCACTCATTGACTCATTTACTCTGTGAAAAGAGGACATCCTTGGCAAGGTAAGTGGTATTTTCTTCCTAGGGTGAGAGGACGTCTGTATCCTTGGGCAAAGTGTGAAAGCTTTGTGGTACCTTGGGGGCTTAGAAAGCCCCCGAGTCAGATTGATCTAGGCTCCAATCAAGTCTGCTCTCGGCCACACCCAACAAATGGGTGAGGACCGGGCCTTTAAGCTTGTGGAAGAGCATAGGCCTGGTCCTCCTGCTGTCTCCTTCATCGTGTCCCAGGAAAGCTCTCCTCCCTTTCTTCTATTCACTCCTTCCCTCTCCATCTACCTCCCCCACCAAAAAACCTTATAAGAAAATGTGGAGAAACAAACCTAAGATGCATAGGAAAAATAACAGAAGATTTGGCTGACATCTGAAACATCTATGGTAGAACAGGAAAATTAAAAATCAACCTAGGGCCAAATACTTATTGATATATCTTGTCTTAAAGAAGTAAAAACAAGTCAAAAATTTTCAAACTCAATGCTATTACCATTGGGTTCTCCTTTAAGGCTAGTTTACCTCCAAGAGCATGAGGAGGACTTGAACCAAAACGATCAGCTGGACAGGAAGAGCCAGGCGCCACTGGAATGCTGAGTGACTCTGACCCAGATCCAGCCCAACCTGACAGCTGCATCCCACAGCCCCACCGTGCAAGACATTGGTGGGAAGGGGTCCTCCCCACCCAGAACAAATGTCCCCCCTCAGGGCCCAACTTCAGAAACATCCTCCTTTCACTTCGATTTCCCAGGAAGCACTCAGGAGTTGACACCAGCTTTGTGTGCCTCCTGTGACATGCGGGGGATTCAAGCCCATGGGTGGGTGGCACAGAGAAGTCAGGGGAAAGGCGCATTGACACAAACCATCAAGGCGTTGTAAGCGTGACTTCACCTGACATCCTCTGGATGACACTGAGCACATGGGGTCCCAATAGGCACACAAGATCTGACCCTTACCAGGTGATGTACAGCCTGAGGGGATGACACCGGTCCTGTGCTGGTGCAACTGAGCTCACTCTGTGTCCGCAGTTCCACACTCTGGAGTTGGAGGTAGTGAACCCAGCGCAGGGCCTCCAGCCTGAGGGGAACTTATTGGTCAGGAAGCAACAGAAGCAGACTGCTGCACCCCCCCACTCCTGGACACACAGCTGGCCCACAGCGTCCTCTGCAAGTAGACATGGCCACATGATTCAGCACTGCTTCATGAATCATCTTCCCTTCACTTCTCCACTTCCCCTCTACATGTCCTTTCTTTTTTTATTATTCATATGTGCATACAAGGCTTGGGTCATTGCTCCCCCCTGCCCCCCACTCCCTCCCTCACCACCCACTCCGCCCCCTCCCTGTCCCCCCCACCCCCTCAATACCCAGCAGAAACTATTTTGCCCTTATCTCTAATTTTGTTGTAGACAGAGTATAAGCCATAATAGGAAGGAACGAGGGTTTTTGCTGGTTGAGATAAGGGTAGCTATACAGGGCATTGAATCACATTGATTTCCTGTGCGTGGGTGTTACCTTCTAGGTTAATTCTTTTTGATCTCACCTTTTCTCTAGTACCTGTTCCCCTTTTCCTATTGGCCTCAGTTGCTTTAAGGTATCTGCTTTAGTTTCTCTGCGTTAAGGGCAACAAATGCTATCTAGTTTTTTAGGTGTCTTACCTATCCTCACCCCTCCCTTGTGTGCTAAAGCTTTTATCATGTGCTCAAAGTCCAAGTCCCCTTGTTGTGTTGCCCTTGATCTAATGTCCGAATATGAGGAAGAACATAAGACTTTTGGTCTTTTGGGCCAGGCTAACCTCACTCAGAATGATGTTCTCCAATTCCATCCATTTACCAGTGAATGATAACATTTCGTTCTTCTTCATGGCTGCATAAAATTCCATTGTGTATAGATACCACATTTTCTTAATCCATTCGTCAGTGGTGGGGCATCTGGGCTGTTTCCATACTTGGCTATTGTGAATAGTGCCACAATAAACATGGGTGTGCAGGTGCTCTGGAAGTAACAGTCTTTTGGGTATATCCCCAAGAGTGTATTGCTGGATCAAATGGTAGATCATGTCCTAGCTTTTTAAGTAGCCTCCAAATTTTTTTCCAGAGTGGTTGTACTAGTCTACATTCCCACCAACAGTGTAAGAGGGTTCCTTTTTCCCTGCATCCTCGCCAACACCTGTTGTTGGTGGTGTTGCTGATGATGGCTGTTCTAACAGGGGTGAGGTGGAATCTTAGCGTGGTTTTAATTTGCATGTCCTTTCTTCTCTCATGCCTGTTCCCCAAATGGTGAGGACTCAGAGCCCAGAGGAGGATAGCGCCCTGCTGCTGTGTGGATCCTGGGTGGCTGCTTGCCCTGATGCTGAGAAGGTCTGGAAGGAGCCCCAAAACCACCCAGGGATGTGTGGGCTGCACCTCTGCTCCTAATGAGTGCTCAGTAATAATAGAGATTTATCAGTGAGGAAGTGGACCTCGAAGCGCAAGCAGGTACAGACTGTCCTCACCCACTCTTAGGTCATCCTGTTAACAAAGTCCCAAGAAGAATCCACATTTGGCAGGCAATTCTACCACTTGAGCCACTCCACCAGCTTTAAGAATCCACATTTGGTGCAGAGGTGGACAAAATGCTTTTGTACCCAATTCCCACACCTAAGGATGGGACAGGCATGTCCACATGGCAAGTAATGAAACTGGGTCTCAGTCAAGATAGCCATGTGATCTCAGGGAAGCTCCATCAGCAGAGGGCTGAGGTTTGTGGCATGGCTGTCAGCCTATGACTGCACCCCATTCTATCATGCACATGTGCACACACAGACACACACATGTAACCATACATACACCACTCACATGGAGACACACATACCCCTGTGCCCAAGACACTGTTGGAGAGTAACAGAAAAGAAGCAAGGTAACACCAAAGGATGTTAGAAACCTGGCTCACTCTGCATAATGGCTCACAGTAAGCACACGGTAAATGCAAGAACCTGATCTTTCTGTGAGGGCCTCCTGGAATTGGCAAGAGGATATGATTCCAGCCATATCACCTGTACAAGGACACACACTAACACAGGCAATCTTCAGCTGCTAAAAATGTTCCCCCCAGCACCCACAGGAGAGCACACACGTGTATGCACGGATGTGCATACATCACACTCAGTGGCATACTGACAGGCACACAGCTCAGGGCCCTGGCTCTCCCAGGCTCTCCCTTACATAACAGCGACCTGAGGTATCCCTGTGTCTGCACAGCAGAGTGGAAAAACCCAGGCTGAGCTGACCAGCTGGCCTGACTCTTGATCTGTGCGGCTTTGGGAGCATCACTTCGGCACCTTGTGCCCTGTGCCCTGGCCTCCAGTTGTGAATGACAGACACGGTGCCTTCCCCCAAGGATTGCTGTCAACCTTAAGATAACACTTTCGTGTTTTGTCACATGTATGTAATATGGAATGATCAAATCAGATTGTGTTAAAGATAAAACTAGAAAACACAAAACAAAGCACAGTACACAGGAAACACTGAGATAATCCACGTGTGTTTTTGTTCTTGAGCCTGTAAGTGTGGTGAATCATACTACTAAATCTTATAATGTTGAAAAACACAAAGACGGTAAGAAACACAAAGTGGCATAGACCTCCCCAAAGACAGGGGCCTCTCCCTGACCGTTTCTGGTCATCAACTTTTGCCTTCTGGTGTCTAGGATATCCTGTAAATGCCATAAACAAGCTTGATGTTGGTGTGTGATTCCTGTTCCCTGTGGTCTCTTCCCCCTGGGACTTTGCACATGCTGTCCACTGGCCTGAACACGGAACCCTACTGAGCCACACCTCACCTGCTGGTTCCCTACTTGTCCCTCAGGCTGAGGCTGGGACTGCTGAGCAGGAGGGACCCTTGGGGCTGAAGCAAGGAGCTCCTCCTACTCCCTGGTTCCCTTAGACTGGTGTGCCAAGTTCAAAGTTGGGTAAGTGCCTATCCCCGGAAACATGACTCGTTAGAGAAGTTTCATCAGGAAAAATTTGATGGAGGTCAGGAAACAGGCAAGGTCAGTGTCTACTAAAACCCTACTCTCTGCCTCCTGTGCTGTCTATGCTGTCCTGTGAAGAGAACTGTGAAGCTAGGAGTGGGGCTAACCTGCAGCACCAACAGAGCTGAGAGGGTCCTTGTTTTCCCCCGGGTTCAGGCTTTGACCAGTCCATCTGGCACAGTGTGGTTGTGTAGGTGGCCAACTTATTCCTTACTGCATGCAGGGCCACCCTCTCTGGTCCAGCTTTCTGGACACAAGCAGGTCCTGACAGGAGTAGCACATAACTACACCCTCCAACAGAATAGGCAAGGGCGGAGCCTATCTTCTAATTGCCGCCCGCAAAAAGACTTATTTCCCTTTGCTCTGTTGAAGAAGCCTACAGAATCGAGCAGTAGAAGGGGAACCTATGTACTTGTGAGGTACTATAATATTAGAACGCAAGTGATTGATCGTTTTCATATAGACAGTGAAGGATGGCGCTACAAATGGCACAGAAGACAAGACCATCCGGTACATTAGGGTAAAGCACGATATGACACAATGAAGAACCAGTCTTTACAACTGCGCCGTTCTGACAGAGAGATACCTGGAGGGTACCATAGAGTTTGCGGAGAAAGCGCTTGGGATAGCGAGGCACACTTAAGAGTACGAGGAAAGACTATGCAGTTATGTGTCAGTCGGCACTTAAGCTAGGCCAGTGGTGCACGGTGTAGATCGGAATAAACCCTGGAAGCGCGAGCGAGAGGACCCTTGGAGATTTTGCTTATACACATGGTTGGCAAGGAAAGAGAGCAAAACCTTGCCCATCTTCCATAAGGCCTTGGTGTTATGGGGTATAACATCATGTGCAAAACCATTAACTGACATGTAGATGGGATTTCGCAAAACTTGGTGCGGGTAATTTGCCCTCTGCTGGAAGCTATTCCTGGTTCTACACATCGGCAATGCCCAAGCCCATTGGGATGAAAGCCACCGGTTGGTCCACACATGCTTTTTAATCTGATGTAAAGTAATCGATAAGTCAAGATCTCTGTCCCACGAGTTGAGCCACGATGATGCTGACTCCACATACCCTCCTCTGCTACGTGTAGGGTTATCTCTTTTCGCGCCCTAACGAGCTAAGTTGTTGCATACACTATATCACTGCATCAAACCATCGGGTGGTCACTACGGAGCTATGTCCCGCGCAGCCTATTCACGTACGATTCCAAAGTTCTCCGCGCGTGTTATACCTACACTACACGTATAGAGACATTTATCGGGTTATCCTAAGCTCACAAAGCAGGGGATCCCCGTTTCTTTCGCCCTTCGTTCTAGCCCCCAGTGGGTTTTCACAACATACAGGAACTCCGTATCATTACAAGATACAATTCTAAACTACGACTGGGGTCTTCTGAGCACGATTTACCTCGAGGTGCACGCTGCAAGGTGGGCATCTGCGCGGGTCCTTTGGTGTGTGTCTGGAGAGGCGAACTCCATTACACTTCCACCCTCCATCATCTCTTTCTGGTCCGATTGTGGGTGGCGAGGTTTCAACTAGTGATGCCATCCCCAAGGCACCACCGAGGTTATATTGCTAATGAGTAGGAGAGCCCAAGAAACGATTCTGGCACAACAAACAGCGACAACTATAGCCTATCCTTGAGTCCTCAAAGACTTCACTGGCTCCCTGCCAGTAAATCTGGACAACAGAGAACTGAAGG